CACATTGGTTATCTTCTACTACAGGAAGCTGCTAGCATTCTCATCCAGTGGCAAACTCGTGCAGCCGGATCGACCGCTTCTAAAGATTTGACCAACGGATCTGATCAAATTCTGCTTCATTCCAAGGGTATCAAGTTTCGGTTACGAACTCAAGTTCTGCATGATCTGACCAGTATGTGTGCCGACGTCAGGCGAGACCGCGTGGAATTGCACACTCGACTTGAACAACGTGGTTCTCTCTTGGATGTGGGTCATCGATGCTTGAAACATCTGGCTGATTTTAACGAATTATGTGCCTGGCTCGCGGAGACCGAGGCAATTGTCTTGCTAGATTCACGTGCAAGTCGTGACACAGTGACCGCCAAGGCAGAGCTACGAAAGCATGCCAATGTGGAACAACGGGTGAATGGATTATTGGCTGCCAGTGTGCGAGATTTCAGTGAGTTCCCTGTAATTTTTACCAATCATGAAGTTTGGTTTTTCAGATTTCAGCTGATCCACTTGGCAGAATTCGTCAATCAGTCATGTGTCTTAAGCTGATGGACTCATGCCGATGCAAAGGGAAGTCGCTGTGGAGGCGATCGGTTGGCAAGTTCACTGTGGTGGATGCCTTTTGCCATTGTAATTAGGTTGGACATAAGATGTGGCTCTTTCAGGGAATAATCAAAGCCCAATATGTGGTCTGATAGTTCAAAAGGTATGGCCCACACCGAACTAAAATGTGAGAGGTGTGCGTACTAGGTTTTAAATTCAACTGAAGCTGGTTAATCCATTGATGGGTGCGTCACCTATTATCCTCAGGTGCGTTCTTAGACTGTCGACCAACACTTGTGTACCTGGTGTTTTACCAAGGCATAGTTAACTTACTGTCTTATCTGCAAGTTCGTATGATCGCGCTTATGTTATGGGTTGACTGTCGGGCGGGCTGTGTAACCAATTCACTGATCTATTTGTTTCCGAAGGAGTTCCATTGACGGAATCGCAATCCGTCTGTTTGTTTTATTCCCTTCGTTCTTGTTGGGTCATTGACCTCAGCTCCCTGACCCCCATGGTCTTGGTTACCTGATTCTCTTTGCCACGGCGCCCGACGTCAAACAGTGACAACGGTTTTCCATGACCGTGTGTCTCATAAAATTGTCAGTCCCCTTCGCTCATTGTATGACTTTGCTCTCGACCCACGTGTGTGTTATCTCCATTAGAAATTTTTTGAAAGCCCGTCGTTTTTCTGTCTACCGTGGCTGGAAAACCCATGATTTGAGATATGCCATCAACCATGCTCGCCTGATTCGCGTATAATATGTCTGTGAGGGCGGCCACATTGTCTTTAGACGGCCTAATTCGGGTAGTAGATAGTAAGTCATCTCCTGTCCAGAATCAACGGGTTGGAATCAGCGAGCAGATCGGTGGTTTAGCTAGCAGACAGCATACCGTCGCTTATTCAGAATCGGAAAATACACTGGAACTAGTGAAGCGGATCAATGAACTAAACAGGTTTAAACAGCTGTCTGAAATGGCTACAAGACAATCAACCAATCGGGTTATAATCAGACAAACCAGTCAGAAGAGCCTGTCGTAAACAATAATTGAGCCAGTAAGTTTTCATGCAAGGAATTGGTTATGAATACCATGCATCTTATACAGACTGCCTCTTGTGTACAAATAAAATGAGATAGTTCGAAGGTTGGGGGGTCTTCTTGCTGGATTAAACACGTAGGTTACCACTGAGGCCAGTTAAACGTGATAACCGAATCGCCGGCTAATTACGAACATTTCTGACAACGCAGTCGGTGAGTGTCCAAAGTTTACATATATATGAAACTTAAATTTCGGGTTTTTTCGTATCGGTTACTCAACCGCTGAACGTTAGTCCGATATTGATCCGTTTGCTGATGGAAACCGATTGAAGCACTGGCAGATTATCGTTTTGTTGCCTTCGCTGTCTAATAACGGTTACCTAAGAACGACATATCTGAGATTCGCATCAGTCCTGTGGTGAGAAGCCAAAGCAGTCGGGAACCATGCTTAAAGTGAGAAGTAGAAATGTCCAAGTATCAAAAGATAATAGTAAAACAATGGTACCATGCACAACACAATGGTAGGAACTGTTGGTTTCAATAAATCTATTTCTCATGATCATTTCTCATGAGGTGACGCGATCTCATTTTCGAACTTGTTTATCATTTATCTCTCCTATTTCTACCGTTCAATCTGCTCACGCGACAGATGCTCACACAATGCAACTTCTCAATCAATCACGTGAACAATCAGATGAACTGAAGCAGCATTTGGAATTACTACAACGACCAAATGAACCACGGATAGATATGAACGAACAGGAACTACGTGATCGAAAACAAGTGAAACGTCAATTGCGTGCGCGTTACAAACAGCTAATGAAACGGATTGAAGTGTTGAAAGCTATACAGGCGACCATTGATCGACAGTATGCCAGTCTGCGTGATGTGTGCGTGGAAAAACGTCAAAGGTTAGAGGAGTTGTTGGCCCTAAATGTGGTCTATGAGGAGATTGTTGATTTGGAGGTGAGTCTGACTGACTTTACTAATTGGAAGATGATAATATCACATCTGTTTCTAAAGCAGAGTGATACATGTGAACACATTGACAGAGCTATGCTGAAAACCATAGTATTCAATTGTGTCGTCAAAGAAAGAGAACCACTGCTTCAGAGGTGACATCAAAGTGTTGACCGGAAGTGATGGGACCTTATGACCCATCTCGGAACATACCACTCCACCTCTAGCCGATGAAAAGGTGGTTGGAAAATATTTATCACCAAATATTCATGCTCGAATCCTTGTTGAAAGTCTGTGAATGCACCCAGAGATCATCAGTTTTATCCTTGTTAGGAATGGTTAGCAGTTTACCTCTCACGAATCCCAAATGGGCGTGAGAATCTGACGTGTAGGGTACATGGTCGGGCCAAATAGTGTAGCAGCAGCCGTCTGTAATTGGTTCAAACACTTCTCAGCCTGCTGTGCACGAGTAAACTCGATGGGATTTTCCCCTTAATCCATGGCAGTTGCTTGGATTCTGACTACGGACAATTTTTCCGGTAGTAAAATCGGGAATTCGGCAGATATGAACTGCTATCGGAGTTACTGGACAGACCGTACACAGTCACCGGCCCTAATTGTGTGCATTCTTCAGTGTGGGTCAGAACAGAGCAAGGTCAAAACAAATAACCTATTAGACATGGTCACTGGAAAACATTCTTTAATAGAACTTGAAACCGAATTATACACATTCGCAGACAGAAATGTGCAAGAATGCTCCTTGATTGAGTCCTTGATGGGATTCGATCGACGGGTCCTGATGATGATGTCAAAAGCTCAAATTGCTGTGCAAATTTTATTCACGAAATCTATCCCATTTACTCCTATCTTTATCGAATAATTGAGTGACGGATAAAGCTTCGAACCAAAAGCGAGGAAAGTTGAGACTAACTAATGATGCAATACGATTGAGTGAATGTGGAGTAATAACTCAGTAAATTGTAAATGCGCTACACTCATGAAAGTTATACATCAGCACTCAAAATAAGGGGTTTTTATTCAATTACTGTGATACCAACTGCAAATATACCAGTGGAAATATCAGTGTTAAAATGGCCCACAAAACAGGATGTGATAAAATTGTGTCAAGCAAAGGACAATCGGTTGGAAAGCGGATTGGCCAGACCAGACAAAAGTTCAGTGAATTATACTTAGAAATACACACACACACACACACACACACACACACACACACACACACACAGAAGCAGTAGATTAGCGAATTTGCACCAGTGTCAGGTGAACAAACCCATCTAGTAAGTGCTCTTGGTAGGTGTTCTGAGTTGACCCACGATAGCTATATCCGGACAAGTTCGTCATGTCGTGCTATCAGGTTCATCGCACAGTGAAATCAAGTTGGTCACACCATGAAATCAAGTTTGTTATGCAATTATGTCATGTTCCTTAATAAAATGCTCCAGTGACAGGCTTCAGATGATCCTTGATCGACTCGGGAAATAGGATGTGCTTGAATTTCCCACGCAAAATTCAATGCTTTGCGCCGACCGGGCATACCACGTAACAGAGTTACACGGAAGTCCATTAGCAGAGCGATCATGTGATTTTTTCGTCATCAGCATTGCTACCAACCAAACTGGTGTCCTTCACTCATTATGCTAATTCATATTGATAACCAATCAGAACTGCGACCATTCTTTTGATCTCAGTGCTTGATTTAAATGGATGCTTCAACCACGCACTCAATTTCTTCACGGTTCCGGTTAGAGTTGGACTAGATATCCCAACAAGTAGGACTAAGCTGTGTGAACACGGTGATTAGGCGTTGTCGGTAGAAAAATTGCGAGTCGACGCTTCGGTTACCGTGGGTAACATTTCTTGAGGTAGTTTTTACAGTCAAATGGATCAGTAATCAATAACAAGTGAACGGGAGTGTGTGTGTAAAGCCGTCCGTCGTTTGAACCGATCGGATGTTATTCATACCGGCTCCCAGAATCCGAGGCAGTAGTGGCAAAGAGGCCAGTCAAGCCCAACAAAGAATACGCGACATCCTGAAAAACCAAAAACCAAACGTTTCAAATATAACAACAGAAGAAAAAAGGTGTCAACTGCGGTAAAGCGGAATCATTCTATTCACACCTCAAAGGCTGACAAAGGCAATGCCACTGTCATCTTAAATGGATCAGATTACAAATCAAAAGCATTGGAACATCTTGCAAGTGGAGAGCAAATGCCGCCCCTAACAAAGCATAAGCCGTCACAAACAAATATCTGGTAAACCTCAAAGAAAAACTCGGAAAATCATAATGGCTTGCTCTGGCACCAAAAACGAACAGGCCTGGCAGATTTATTGGGTTGCCAAAAATCCATAAACTGCATATACCTATTCGCCCGATTGTGGACTACACGCCATGTGAAAACTACAGGTGAGCAAGATGTCTCAGTTCTTTGTCAAAACCGTATCAAAAAATGGTGGTAAGTCACAATAATGACGCTTTCGACTGTGCCCTCAATGTACAAAAAATCGAACCAATGAGTGATGAGGTTTCAAAAGTTTCCGTGTTATCTCCTTATATACAAGAATTCGGATTAAAAAACCGCCTAGATTATTTACATCCCATCAAGAACTGTCTCTGGTTTACAACTTTGTCTTACTTCAACTTACTTTACCTTCAAACAAAAATTATACAGACAAACTGATGGCGTGCCCATGGGATCTCCTGTCTCTCGAATGGTTGCCAATCTTTTTTTTACATTCAATCGAATCGAAGGCCCTAGCTGATTTTGACACCCCCCCCCCCCGCACATGTTCACATGAAAGTTACGTTGACGATGCTGTTGTGGTTATCAAATCCAAACAGAAAGATGTCATAATGAACAATGCAACTCCATCAGTTTTACAATCGAGACAGAAGATACTGACGGGGTAGTAAATTTTCCGGACGGTCGTCTGAGGGTGAATTACTCTCAGAAATTCACCATCGGTGTCCATCGAAAACCAAAGCAACCGGATAAATATTTACAGTTCGATTCAGCTCATCCGCAATGCGTAAAATAAACATCCGCACATCTCACCATCTCACCACACCCAATGATTCAATTAATTTACAAGACCAACACAGCTGCATTTACAAAATCAGTTCCAAGGAATGTCCAGCTGAATATATTAGACAAACATCAAAACAGCTTGAGATCAGAATAGTGGAGCACAAAAGAAAAGAAAAATGCAAGCCTTCCAACATGACACCCTTAGGGAAACTAGAGCGGGATTCAGCGATCGCTCTTCACATCATTGATGAAGGGCACATTATAGACTATGAAAACACAAAAATCCTCCAACACGGACTGAGACACGTGAACTGAGCGTTTGTATGCCGAAGCTCTGACAGCTATTGCCCACCCTGTATGCGTCAACCGAAATGACGGGGCAGTGGTTCCCAAGACTTCGGACCACACTGACATCACTAATGAATAAGCAGCCCAAAGGTCACATCGACAGTTGACCTCGTCATCATGGACTCGGATACTGGGAACCAGTGTGACTACAATTCATTCGATCTGATCGAGGAACAAATTCGCACACACACACACACACTCTTCCGTTGACATGTTAGTGGATACTTAGTCATTTGATTGTAAAAACTGCCTTGTGAAAGGTTGACCACGACAGCCGAAAGGTCGACTCATAATTACCCCAGTGACAACGACGTGTTATCGACATTTTCTCGTTTAACACATCACATGGCGTATCGTTTTTCCGGTTCTCTCCAAACCTCGTTCGGTTCCGACATGTTGATTAGCCCCACGCCTTCTGTCTAACTGCTTAAAAAACGACAGCTTGTGAGTGTGCCTCAAAATGAAGATTGAGTGTCGTTCGCAAATTTTACAGTCAAACCGGAACCATGGGGAAGTAAAGTGCCTGGCAGAAGCTTTCGTCCGAGGCACCTATTGGGAGGGAAAGATCGATTGCAGTGTTGACTAGTTATTATTGTGCATCCGCATAGTGGCCTAGGCACACCACTCTGATTGGAGTAAGAATGTTGATGAAGCAAACATCACATGACCGATCTGCCAATGGGGGCATGCGCAACACTCTTACGTGCTACATCCAGTCTGTGAAGAGGCTTGAAATTTTGTACCAAAAATCCAGACCGACTCAGTTGTTCTAGCCAATCGAGGCCTACCAGGGCTTGTCACTAGAACCTTTTATGGATGAGCTTGATACCACGATGTAACGAACTTCACTGAGAGAAGCTGCAGGTCTGGGAGGAAGAGGTCTCTGCATCCGAACCCCGCTGGTACATTAGCACCAAACTGGATGCCTGTCTATGGTGTCGGGTGACTGCAATCCATTCCTGCTCATCAGGAATTGACAATTCTTTCCCTACACGAATCTGATTAAAGAAGCTAAAAACATTGGTTTGAACACTATATCCAGGACTGATTCACTGTACTTTCACAGAGGGCTTACTGCAGTTACGGTAATTGTTCATAAGGTCAAGAAAAACAAGCATTAGGAGACAAAATTTCGAACGATATCCAACGATCATGGGAAACAAGGAGAGGTTGATTGAAATGAGTGTTAAATAGGCAGAGATGAAGAGACCAACCATTCACGTTACTTGCATGGATCAGGGTTTTGGTTGCAAATAATGAGTGGTCTAAGCTTATTGAGTAATCATCGTTTGCTGCTGAGGTAGATGACCTCCAGTGTCTTGTGTGGAACGAGACAACACCACAGGAAGAAGAGTCGTTGCGTCAATCTGTCGCAAACCGTGCAACGAAGATCAAAATAAATAGCAAACCAGATTGTGAACACGTTCCAAGATTTGGTCCACACGGACCACGTGACCGGACATTAGGCAGCCGGAGATTTGGTCGCTGGATGTTTGGTCGCCATACATTTCGTCGAATTGACAATAAACAAACTTGTAATTACCATAACCTATTGTGTTTCTCTGAAAATAAGATCTTGTTTTGTATTTAATTTTGCTTCAAAAATTCCACTAGGGTTTATTTTCGCTTTAGGCTTATTGCAATTGGACAGTCCGGTGCAACTTCGTGAAACACTCTTTTGCTTCATTTGCACTCCCCGTTCTTTCCTTTTTCATTAACCTTGTGCATTTGAATGTCCAATTTCACTACTCTTATCGTTATAAGATTGCCTTCCCAATAGATCCTAACGGGCTGACATACGTTATAACTCGTTGAGTCCCTTAATTACCGTATCAGGCGTTGATTATCAATGTATTATTTATAAATTTTTATGATAAATTATGTGACATCAGCAATGATCAGTAATCTTTCTAGACCTATTATAGAAAGAAGTGGTTGCATTCCACCGCGGATTGGCTATTATCAACCGACAACACTGAGTTTCGATAGTACAACATCTATTTGAAACATAACGTATGGCGCATCAATTGGCTGATACATTCATAACCCCGTTCAGCCTAAATGATGCTAACCATTAGGTTAGCACTGGACACCTAAAACTAATCTGCTAACATCATAACTAACCCAACGTGGCCTCTCGCATGTACACTTGGACAACAATCGAAATACGTGAACAGTAGTTTTTTATAGGTCATGAGCAGTTTTACGTGAAAAATTGTACATGACTGTGCTCGTCATGCTGCTCAGCTAAACGATGCAAGCGGTAATTGATGGGCAAATATTTGTTTATCGTTGGTCTTTTATGTGTGCCGGATGCTAGTTGCTCCATTTAAGGAACATCTATACATGTTAGGGTTGGGGGAGTTTTTTCAATGCCGTTCATCACAGCTGTCTCATGATTAATTGTTACGGAAATATAGTTGAGTTTGGGTTCTTCTCGTTTGAGCGTCTCAAAAATCACATCATACATAGCTTGCGTTCCGCTACGGAAAATGCAATAAACCGGCGGAACTGTGTGGTTCCCACTCAATGCGGCGTGAATTATGTACAGCTGTATTGAAACAATGTCGATCACGTTCACGTATTAGAGTGACACCGGACACGATGCTAGCTGGGGGAGGTAAGGTTAGATCGTCTGCAAGCAGAGCAGTCAATGTGTGTTTTTCAGTTGGCAGAAACCAATTGTCGTTGCAGTAAGCAGACAAACAACGGACAATCCTGTGGCATCGAACTGCAGGCGAACTGCCAACAGTTAAGTACTAATAAGTTATGTTTATCTGCAATCAATTTTGTTCGTGAATTTACGCAGGCAAGCTCCATCATCTCCAGATCGCTAAGTGTTCATTTAGGGAAGGCCTTATTGCTGGATACGACAAACTGGAATCACTGGTTCCACAGGAAATGCAGGATTTGGAAATTTATTACCATATCCCAGAAGATGACATAACTGTATTTGAATCAAAGTAGAGTTTTGTTCCTCCATAAATTTCCTCTTTGGTATCTGAAAAATAATACGCCCCTGAGAATAAGTTTTAGTGCAATCTTTGAGGCAAAATTAAATATAAGACCGGGCATACCTTCGGGGAAACACGGTAGTATATGTTGATTGAAAGTTTATCGATCAAATGTCCAATCGCCGAACTGTTCGATGATGACATGTCCAGTGACCAGTTGTGTGACGGCCAAAAGTCTGGAACCCACGGATCATGTATAGCACCGGACACTCAATACGTTCGCCATCCTCATTCCTTCTCTGTACTGCTGGCCATCACACATAGTACGTCATGTGACCTTGACTCTCGAATTAGATCTGCTGTGTTCAGAATTCAGAGAACACAGTACGCAATAGATCCGTCTATTAGTATTTCAATAAACGCGCACGTAAGCCGACAAAGGGGCAAACAAGTGAATCATCCACTGGCAAGCGCAAGCATAATAATGTGTCAAGCGAATAGGAACAACAAATCAATGTTAGTCACACGTGCACCTAACCGCATGTGATTGGTAAAGAAGATCGAAGAAGAGTGTGGGATAGACAGACATCGCTCACGCGAATGCAAGGCCGACGGGACCGGAATGAATCACGTGCGAATGTCAACGACACATGGGTTGGCCACACAACAAGACCATATCACTGTTCACCTTGTTTTATACTGACAGTTATTGGTCTGAACCCGTCTCCGTGAGATGTGCTCAGAATACAAACTTCCACTTACGTTCTAATTGCTGATTTTTGATATAACAGAGAGGATAGCAGCAAGTTAAAACAAAGACAAACTTATCCGGAGAAGACTGGACAGAATCGATACCCTGAATGTTGTAGTTCAATGACAATGAAATCGAATATACTCGTGGAGAAAAATCGGTGACTTAGCACTTAAGTCATTATTGCTCGAAGGCAGTTGTCATCAAGACAGCGCGCACACGAATGCTCCATCATTCTAAGGCGAGGAGCGTAAACGTTTTATTTGCATCCAGTGTTGATCAGTCCTATTCACAATGTTGATATCTGGCTAGCCCAAAAACACACCTGTCTGATTACACTCTGAGGTTAGGTGCTTCAGAGAAATCGACTGTCTAACACCACGTCAAACGTAATCCAACCTGGTCATCCCACTCATACTCATAAATGAAGACAACACTTCGTTTTGTGAGTACCAACCAATTCTGGGGAAATTACGCAATAAACCGCGTTGAAATTTCATGCTTTTCTGTGTTTTGACTCTAGTTCCTTGAAATTGATATGTAATTTATTTGGCTGAGTAATTTGCTTAGTTTTTTAAAATCCTGATTGGAATTGCTATTTTCAAACAGGCTTGGATGCATCAACAGGCTACAATCGCGGCAGCTCCCACTACGGGACGTGATCTGTCTGAATGTCTGCACCTTGTGAACCAGTTCAGTCAGTTTGCCAGTCACGTCCTCGGGATCCCACTCCAATCGCTGACTCATCCTGAGGAGGCACAAACCTCGATTGAAGAGGAAGCGAATGCATTGATTCCTGAAGTAGATGAAGAATCAATGCTCGGGCTCACCGGGGGTGCTCTACGAATGGCTAGAGTGGTCAACATGTGTCGTTGTTTGATCCGCACGCGACATTCCGATGCCCCACAGATTGCATTCTGGCAAGATCGACTGACAGAGACTTGGGCGGATCTGAATGAACTAATCCGAACACGTTGGGTTCAGTTGATTTACGCGGTTCGACGTCATACATATTTGGCTCGATGTGAGGTAAACATATTCGTTAAAGCAATAAGATTAGATCAGTTAGAACATATCTTCAATGCTGTATTGAATTGTGGGGAAGGTTGTTTCGTTAGTGCGCCGGACGGTGGTCCATTGGTTGAGTAGCTCGTAGAAGACGAACCCCGTTTCTTTAGTCAGAGAACGCGAATTCGGCAATCAATGTATGCTACCAAAGAATGACATTCAAGCACAAGTGGATATATACATCGGTTTCTGGGCTACTCAGTCACAAAATACATACGAGGCAAGGCAGATAGAATCACTCGTCAAATGGGGTAGCAAGTAGAAGCCGGAAGGGATAAGGGCTATGTTAAATAACAAGCAGAGGGAGCCGGTGATTCTGAGACTGGTGGTAAAGGATGACCAATCAGGATCATTGGTCTGCGTCAATGTGGAATGGCATTTCAACTCACGAGACACAGGATTTGGGGTTGGGGGTGGGACAGATGGTGGTCGAAGATAGCCGAAAAACGAAAAACACAGGTTTACTTAGTCGACGGAAGGCCAGCAGCGAAGTATAACGAATGCGTGAACAATGATCCTAATGGATTTTGTGTGAAAACCCGTGGATTAGTGAACTAGGGAAAAGAGTAGGAAAAAAGGTTGCTTAAGAAATCACATAAGTTGGAGGCCGGAATTCGTTGATGAGGACACTATAAGACAAGGCCAATAAATTATAAGGGCACAGATGTGACATGGCAGAAAGTGCTAATAAATATGTCACATTTTGAGAGTAGTCAAGCCAATTGGCACACGGCAGAGGAGACAGGCCGGATATAAGTTTACTCTACCTGCTCCAGGTAACTGAGTCAAAGGGAAACATATATCGCGCGCCATGATAAAGCGAGCAATATAGAGCGAATATCTTAAATCTCTCACTCTCAGCACATACACGCACATACACTCACCTTGCTTGATTGACGCACACAGACTCGGTAACTAAACCCACTACTCAGTTAGGGTTACGTCACCATGCGTAAACTGACGACGACTCAATTGCATTCGAAAAACCGGAGTGATATAATGTTACTTAAGGTCTCTCACATAGTGATCTCAATTTTCACCTGACCAAGCAAACGAGCTAGGCTGAACTGTGTTCACTACGATCATTCACGGTCTCAAGAATGGAGTGGTCTCAGTACAAATGATGATAATGAACTCACCAAGGAAATGGAATGCAATCGATGTTGGTCTTGTTAAACGCAGTTCGTCAGCTACGTGTGGTGAATTCAAACGTTTACTTTCCGAGAGAATGATACCTGTACAGTCTACCGTGAAGAAACCGAGGATCAAAATCATGGATACAGGTTTCAGTAATCCGCAGACCTGTGACAGCCGAAGAAAAGGATCTCGCCCAGCAGAATGTTGTTGAAGCGGATTACTGCTTGAAATTTGATGTACCAACTTTTATGAGTACTTCCGCCCATGCTTTCATCCATTTGAATTTCACCACGGTATTGCATTAAAATAGTGACAGAGGGAAGAATGCATTTCTTCGAACGGTTGGTTGAGTCACTGAAAACGCGACTAACTTTGTGCAAGGACTCTATTTTTCTAGACTACCTGTACTCCATCTTCATGGTGGAGTAAATAGTAGAAATCAAATCTACTGGGCTGGAGACTGTCTGTGCTTTGTAATGGATACGCATCACTGTTTACCCCCGAAAGTAGTCGCATGGTTCGGCATACATTGTACGACCCTTATGGAACCGTACTTTTTCTCTGGAATTGTGAATGGCTCAACATATTTGCAAATGTTATCTCAATTTCTCTTCCAATATTTGCCATCATTGGAAGATGATAAACGTAGCCGTATATAATTTCAACAGAGTGGAGCTCCGGCTCACTTCATAAAGCCCGTTAGGTAGTGGTTGGATGGGCAGGTTCCTGGTCGGTGAACTGGAAGAGGCGCGCCTATCACGTGGCCAGCAAGATTTCTTGATCTATTTCTTTAAGACTTCTTATAAAATAGATTGAAAAGTATGGTCTACATACCGCAGCCGAAAACACTGGAGAACCTGGAGAAAAACATTCAAATGAATTCAGGATACATACCAACACAAGATGCGGAAAATAAAAAAAATCCTGTTGGAAGGGTTCAAAAATGCATGGACGTTTAGCGGAAAAGATTTGAGCATTTTTTCGATCCGTATGAACTTGTTTCTTCATCAAGGAAATATACATGTACATTATGCTGACTTCACTTCACTCTTCGTTTAATAATGGTAAATCCAGATGTGATTCCAAGAAACTGTCTTACGTCGTTCATCAGAACCCCGTTTGTACGGAGACTACTCCATTCGTGAGACCGTGAATGATCGTAGTGAACACAGTTCAGCCTAGCTCGTTTGCTTGGTCAGGTGAAAATTGAGATCACTATGTGAGAGACCTTAAGTAACATTATATCACTCCGGTTTTTTGAATGCAATTGAGTCGTCGTCAGTTTACGCATGGTGACGTAACCCTAACTGAGTAGTGGGTTTAGTTACCGAGTCTGTGTGCGTCAATCAAGCAAGGTGAGTGTATGTGCGTGTATGTGCTGAGAGTGAGAGATTTAAGATATTCCTTCTTTATCGCCTGTTAACCTTTTTCTTTATAATGACATACCCTAAAGACGGTTAGTCGTAACATTGATTGCGGTGGAAATTACATATGGAGAGCACAAATAGTTGAACCACGCTTGGACAGAGTGGGAATTTCCACAAGTAAATTGGTATCGTATATGATTAGAATAGCGGGTGGTCTATAGAAGTAGACAACTGTCAGCCTGTCGATAAGCGGCCAGAAATCCTAAGTATTGTATCAGATTACTGCCTGTATAAGAGGTTTGAACTGGTTATTAAAAAAGTCCGTCAGCCAAGAATTCTCAAAAATCCTTTATTTTCCATGCAAATGAATATATGAGATAGTCAGCATTCAAGTGTAATGATTAAAATTCAGGAAGAAGTGTTTGCCAAACGCCTACCAACTATCTGCCTCCGTGGTAACAACTACGAAGATCGTTGATCAATAAGACAGAAGAGCACAGTCGGGAGATGAGTAACAAAGGTTATTAGAAGCTCTGCAGTCAGTAGATATCGTCGGGTCATTCAGAGCGATCTACCAAGCCCCGACTAATGTCTCGAACCGAATTAGAAGCTTCGCGCTGTATACAGCGGGGGTAGTAAGCCCGTAAATCGACAATCCCGGCAGATGGTAACATAAATTTACTCTCTGTAACCCAAAACAGTCGTGGTCACAGCATAACGCAACAATGTAGTCGTTAGCACAGTAGGGCAGTTACAAGGAGCATGTTCATCCTGCCCTAGTATGACCCCCTCCCTCCATGTTGGTTCTATCCAAAGAACTGACTGTCTCAACTACTCGTTTGATTTATAGAAATGTAGAGACTTCAAAATCCATTACTTTACTGGTCTTTGCACACGTCTCAAAATTACTTACACGTCTTCTCATTGTTTGGGGTATATTATGACTGTCAATGCTGATGGTTCAACGAACAACTTCTTGATATAATTAGACTTTATAGAATACCTAATTTACGATCTGTAATAAAATGTAACCCATTCTACAATGCTTCCTGAGCTTTTCGATCATGAAGACTTGCTTGACCACTCGCCGCAGCTGTTACTGGGTTCATCATTGTGATTGTAAATTCGAGATACACTACTGATGAGTAGACAAAAGTCATTCTGAGTTATTTCCGGTTAGTTGACGCTGGTCACATGGATCGAACAAGAAATAAAATCTCTATAGGAATTCAAGGAATATTGCATATAGTAGTGTATGTCGCAATCATTTTCACTAACCTTCACTCAATGACTCACAGTTCATTTTGTGGCACTCCAACTTTGACGATAATTGTAGGAACTACACGAATTTATCAGGGAGAAAGCCACACAGCTTCCGGACGACGTTGGTGCGGACTTCAAGATCATTTGTCAACAGGTCTCTCAACAGAACGCATTCGAACAGGACTTCCAAGCAACGGAACTACAGGTGACTATTTTACTTGATTACTTCAAGTAGATAATGGGGAATTCATCAGCATATTCTCATTCAAAATCTGTAGTAAAACCAGCTATCTTGCTGGGCAGTTACTCTACCATCTGCGTTATCACGCCACGGTCAGTCGGGCTCGAATAACGAATTCAGGAATACCGTGATCCGCAAACACTTTACTTAATGGTGCTATTCCACTGATCAAAATCAGGACAGTTGCTTTGTACCACTGAAATAGTAGTTGCAAATCATTGGATATTCACTTGCTTGATTCGCGTCTTTAGCGGCCGTAGTGCGATAGGTCAGCAGGTAGTGCAACCGTCTAGTGGGTCGAAGGTTGCCGATTCCTTTTCGGCTGGTAGTTCTGTTAGTAAATTTTATCATTGCTTTGATTATAAAATAGCACGAAACACAGACTATTTGTATTGCTAGCGATTCCTCTGACCAGGAGGAGCATTTTGATGCGAACTCGATGTTCCCCTGTCCACATGCTTATCTTCTTTCTATCCGTCCATTTATCTAATATTCTGTTCACTGGCTTAAACTTTCATGTGTTTCCGTTTGACACCTCGTTGCTTGTCTACCTCAGGCGTAGTTAAATGGTTACTTTTAACCATTTTTGATGAAGTGGTCGTCATAGAGAACTTGGAGTTCCGGGGTTTGAGCAATCCCTCCACCACCGGACACCATTTTCAGTAGGTCCTAATTCGTCTTGACCTCCTTAGCGAAATGTGCCATTATTGTGTAGTTAAAAATGGAAGTAAAAACTTTGGCATTATTATTACATCTTTTCGCACACTGGGTCACAAATTGCTTATGCAGGTGCAGATGATCAACCAAACTGCGGAACAATTACTGCCATTGTATGCTGGCAAATGGACAGTTCGTCTGACTAAACCACGCGATAACCTGATTGGGTTGATGAACGAGTTGCGTACGCGGATGCAACGCAGACGGAAACGACTAGAAGAAGCGATTACTCTACACAGATGGTTAACCACAGTCAATGAGATAGTTCGATGGATTCAGAATACTCGCACAGAAGTAGATCACATGCTCAGCCCGGAGGAGAATTCAGAAATCACTCGTGCCGAAATCGGATACATGTGGTACGTTATGGTGACCCGTTTTTAAGTTCAGTAGAAACGCTCATCTTGCGCTTTCTTGCACGAAGGTGAGGAATCCAACAGAATCAAACTGAAAACTGTATTTTCGATAATAACCTGGACTATTATTATCATCACTATTATTAATATTATTATTATTGCCTTTCTTATTAACACTAATGTCATTGGGGTGATATTGACACTTTCGATGAAGATGATTATGAATCCGAGCTTATCACATTCTACCGCAAAAGTCACTATCGAAAACATTCAAATTATTTCTCCTCTAGCTTCTGCTCTCTATAGGTTTTCTTGTCGTTTATTACCCACGGGCAATCGTTTGGTAGAGATCGCGGCCTAGGGTAGAGTAACCAAACCTTTAAGATACACCCATACCACGCAAGGGTACAACGCTGTCCTATTTGAAGGGCTTGGTAGGTTTGTGCCGGTCACTATCTTGAATATGCAGGGACAACAAGGGAAATGTTCTTGGTTTGTCAAAGGAAAACGGGTTTACACATCCGAATGATTCTTTGAATGTCCAATAACATTGAAATTATGACTGTCAAATGCAGCTGATTAGGCGAGTCAAGCCGGATTCAAAGTTTATTTACAGATCTACATGAACATTTCGAACCTGCGTTCTTTGACGGTCTAACCTTCCGGAAAGCGGCGAATTAGATCCTCGCACAAAGCTACCATGACTGCATCTGGAACTGAAATCTCACACATGATGTGCCCTTGCATTGTTTGGGTGTATCGGGAAGTTTTGATCACTGTATCCTAGGCTGTAATCCCAAAATGATCAACAGTGGCTACTAAGCTGTTGATGAAGGCAACTCAACGGTAGGAACGCCTGTAGTGGTTGGAATATTTAGTTGACAGACATCGCCATAGTTACTCAGCTTTGTGAGTATGACCAAGCACACAACCACGTTAATTTCGACGGTTTAATTTGAAGTGGTAAGTCGCGCATTTCTTCGTTCTTAGAGCCGAAAAGCCCTTTCGCGTTTGTGTGGGAATGTGAGTCCCGTAGAAACGATTGTTTGCTTGTTGTACGACTATCATCTTTGATGAACGTAGTCCTGACAACCAAACAGAGTTGCTGACGGTTGATCTCGCTCTCACCAAGGCATATTGACATTTCTACTCTAAGAAAAGATTTATTTTATATTCCAAGTATAATCACGTCAAATGGCGCACATTTCTGATGCACGGGATACCCTTCTAGGGAAATCCCACGCTACTCACTCCCATTTGAACCGCTGGCGAACTCGGTTGGTAACAACGGTAGAGTTGACGAATACTTTTTGGGACTCGTGGGAGATAGATTGTCTGATTGATTGTTAACAGCCATCCTTACTGTTCCATATTACGTACGCCAATGTATACTCCCCATAAGTCTGTTTTACTCTTCCGTACTTTTCCCTAGTCTGATTGAAAAGGACTACATCACTCTTCGTAGAGGTTTATACATCATCAGTTTTGTTTCTGGCATAGTCTTGAGAGACCTCGTGTCAAACTTATATGATAAGCACAGTATAGTATCCAAGGTGGTTGCCGAAAAGAGCTTCTCTGACCGTCCACGTCTACTGCATTGTGATCTTTTGCTCAGTCGATCTCACCCCTTGATCCGTTCTCTGTTTTAAACTAATTCCTCCAAAATGATTGCTGCACAGATCTGTCGTAGTTCCGTCGTTCTGCTCGTGCTTTACCAAACAAGAATGAAGTTTTGTCTGAACTGTTAACCCTTTATGGCGTGTAGAACTTATCGTCATTTTTATCGACGGCCTTTAGGCACCGTAAACTTGTGTTCAAGTCATGAAATGAAATCTGCCCACCCCGACATGACACACAAGCAAAATGATGGTTTCCTTCGTGTTTGAGCTACATACTGGTTGTTAAGTACGAGAGTCTGTGCAAGGGCCTGCCTGTGGGGGATGAATGTTCGTGTCGGTCCCTCACTTTCAACCATGTATTGACTATGGCACGTATGAAAAACGCGAGTGATGAATTATTTCATTGAGTATTTGTTTTCCAAGGCTTACGGTGGTCACCAGTCCAGCCGCGTGGATAAAGGACAAAAGACTTTAGAGACAAAACGAGACATAGAGGAATGAGATCATAAGTTGACCCCTTACACTAAAGCACTGATTTCGCTGAGGGAGGCCAGGGAAATCATTACATGAAGGTTGCTTCTACTGTCTAATTCACAAAAGGACGATTGCTGATTGCATAACATCGATCATGTGTACTTGTAACTAAAGCTTTTCAAATTATCGAGCTCCACCTCTTCTTTCTCTAGCTATACCACAGATGTCCGTAACATCTGATTCATTTGAAAGGCTTCGCTAGAGCTTGATGTTACATAGACGAGTCGTAGTCAATGAATCCATCACCAATTAGTTCCTCTACATGGTTATAAAGCGGTTCTGATTACCCGGATTATTACTGTTGCTTTTTTATATGTGATTTGTTGTGCAATTTGAAGATTGTGGAATGGCAAACACTTCCAGTTCCCATTTGGCAGCCTCTTATTAGCCGCGACCCCCTTACAGAAGTGTTGCACATCTTCGCGTAACAAACGAAGAAAAAAAGAATTCTGTCTTATTTGCTTTTTTAAAGTTGTATTGTGCCAAGTAAAAGATATTTAAACAAATTTCTTCTGATAAGCGGCGGTGGTCAAATGAGCTTCGGGAAGAGCGCCCCGCTCAAATCCCAAAAGCACTCGGTCTTGTTGCACCCTCGTCAATATCGACGCTTTATTATTGCTACCAAGGCAACATATGTGAGTTTTGATGGGTTCCATCCTTGACATCACATTTTGGGATTAGAAAGGTTGTTACAGTTCTGAGTGACGATGTGAAAAGTTCGAATAACAACGGGAAAACATGTACGCGGCCTAAATCCTGTTGAATGATCAAGTTCGTAGCAGCACAATTCGTGAACAAAACAGTGATTCACCGGTGCCATATTCGAAGCCAATTCATCCACTAGGTGCTGTGAGAAAACAAATTACAGTACACGCTAGATATGTTCTCATGGAAACCAAATTAGGTACTCGAGACAAAATTATAAAATGTTCATCAGATGACCTTGTTACTAAATATGAAAACAAAATAAATAGTAAAAATGAACCAGTGGTAGACAGTTTGGGGATGCTGAAGCAGTAGAACAACAGTGTACATGAATACTATTTAGTTGCACAACCTTTAGGGAAATTGGTACTTTCCCCTGAACTAATAGCACTGTCTTGGGAAAGCTGGATGCTCCGGCCAAGAACCTACAACTTAGAAAATAACAAAAGATATGGAAAGCTAAGAAAAGCAGAGATTTTATGAGTTTTTGGTGGTTTGAAATTTAGTAGACTATATCATTCACCAGCTTCTTCATCCTCTCAAATAGTCATACAGATATTTATTTTTTGACTAGACTATTTCAGCAAAGTTCGGATGAAGTTTTTTTAACGTATTTGTGCTATTTCAGCTAAGCAGTGCCCAAAGCAATCTGGGTGTGACAGAGATTTACTATATTTTTCCAGTAATCAGCGTAATTACTATCATTACAACTATTATTGCAAACGTACCTAACTCGTCGCCTTCTTGATCCTTCGTTTCCAAACCAATCAGGTCCACAGAATCGATTCGTGCTAGTCTAGCGCTCTTGTTTCATTATCATACGGAGATGAATGCACGCAAAGAATCGATCCTGTCGTGTTTGCGCAGCGGCGAACAGTTGTATCACACATTTCTCAATCAGAGTAAAGAGACTTATGGGAGCATGCAAACCCCGAACCCACGACGTCCGACACCGATTATTGTGATCGACAATCAGTTAGATATGAATTCGAGCGAGGCACCTACCTCACCGGACAGTCTCCTCAGCAGACCTACGGTTGGAGAGGATCCTCAAACGATTTCCGCTGAACGAGATGAGCATAAAGCAATCGAGTCTCGACATAGAAGGAATAGTTCGCGTGCGGATAGTTCGTCCGGGCAGGAAAGACCATCGTCTTCATCTACAAGGTGCAGTGAGATCAAGTCAGACCAGTCTGTGGCCGGCAGTGATGACCTGACTGATGATGAAACGATTGGTCACGAGAACAAAGGACCCGGAGCATCAGAGTCGGGATTCGTCGTTTTTAACTCAGATTTAACCCCGCTCTCGCCATCACCTTTACCTTCAACCGCGCACACGTCTTCTGCCCCCGTTTTCGGTTCATCGAATGAAGTGAAGCGGAATATGATCGATGTAATCACCAGGTGGTGTGAACTGCAACAGTTTTGGTGTGAAGTGTGCAAACGATTGAAATTTCAGCTATGTGCGGCATCGTTCGCCTCGTAAGTTATTAGAGAAAATGTGATATATCACAACGCATGCGCATATTATGCAAATACTTAGCATGAAAACGAAGGTATGAAGTGAGTTGCATGATTAATGTGTCAGAACCGAAATCGGTTCGGAGTGTATCGAAAAATCGATGCGCCATGTGAAATGTTATGGTAGAATTTTATTGCTCAATAACACAGCGTAGTCGAGATCGTTGGTAGGTTGTCGACGTTTCGGTCACCACGGGCATGATGTTCATTGAAACAATTCGATCCTAACAGAACCCTGTTCTCAGCTGAATGAGTGAATGCTATGACTAAATTGCTTGTCTTGATGTCTTTATGTGTATCCGTTCCCATGTATTTCCGTGTGGGTGTGCCTGTCCTTTGATGGGAAGTTTTAGTCAAGTGGACTTACTTGAGGATGAAACCCGCTCCCCTCTTCCAAGTATCTTGGTCACCATTGTCACATCAGTGGTCTTCATCTACTGACCGGTATGTGAACAGTGGTTTTATGTATATGTGAAAGTGATTTGGCGAATTGTATTGACAGTCTTTCTCCTTGCATGTGAGTGCGCATTTCGTTGTGTCTTATCCGTGTATTATTTCTTTCGTCCGATAGAGTCAACGGCCCCAACCGCACATAACTGGTGTTGTCGGTCAACGTAGTCCTAGAAGTCGAGAACAGCAGACCTCAGAGCACAGACTGATTTGTAAGCATTACTTAATTGAAATTAGCATTGCTGGGTGCAGTTATTCAAATCAAATTTTTGTTGTAAAAACTTCGAGAAATTTCAAATCAGCATAATAATATGAGAGGCCAAAGGCTGTTCCCAGAAGTCTCGTGAAGTGCATTTCACCTGGCATATTGTCCGCCTGTGTACACGGATAAAACTGACACCAAGAAGCGGGACAATCCTTGCACAGACAAACCATATAGGATGCCATGGGAGGGACGTACATGAAAGTCATTTTATTTCTTAGTGCTTCTGGTAGATGGTCAGTAGCCATGACAGTGACTTTAGGAGTGATGATTAGACACATGGAGCCAAACAGGTCAGCCGTGGTAAAGGGTTGGGAACAGTGGAGCTGGAAGTCGACCAGTTGTACCAGGATTTGAATCAGCGACTTTGGCTTAACCAATCAGTGACTATATATCAGTGTGAGTGTCTCGGATGTAGCTCAGAAATTCACGGAGTAGAATTCCTGTACAATTTTAGCTATCCTGTGATAGGTTTGGTTTTCTGTTATATATATATATATATATATATATATATATATATATATATATATATGTATATATGCTTACGCATGAGTGCAGTGGAAGGGGTATGCCCCATGGCCTGTGAAGATCACTGCCCTATTGAGGCAGCTGTGAAACCTCAGACTTGTAGTGATGATTCAGATAACGTCCCAGTAGCTCAATTGTGGAAACAAGTCGTGAGATAGCGGATTAATATCTTTCACTAAAGTGACGAGCCATGGCGAGATTCAAACCATTTGAAGGCATGAACAATAATATAAAACATGAAGAGAGATGCTGCACTTCATTGACTAACTATATAAAACAAAATAAAGTAAAGCATACATTGATTTGCTTGCCGTGAACCAGCAATTCATAGTGGCAATTTTGGAGCGGAAAATTGTTATTCAGAGGATCTGAAACACGTTGGCAATTAGTGAATCATCAAAAGTGCAGATCAGTCGTCTACCTTTGATAATACTCAATCATAGAATGGAAATGTCGAAAAAGATGTTGACTTTTAGTTCAACGACTCTATTTTCCAGTCCAGTAGCATTGAAGTAGAACTTCTTAGAGTCTTGAGGAGTCGAAATCATATAAACACTGGAAAACTCACCAATCTTTTCCGCAGCGAGTCAGAATCGAATCTGTGACCTTTCGTTTACCGGAAATTCGCTGTACCAGCTGAAAGCCTCAGGTTCGATTCCGGCTCACTGCGTGCACGTTCTAATGCGAACAACTGAATAATGTCGTAATTGATGCGGATACTGCGAGATTTAGGACTGACACATGGTCGATAGAAAGCCAAGTCCCATTAGCAGAGAGAAAGTCACCACCTGCCCACAATCCAGGTCAAGGCTTGAGTCAGCGTATTCGCAATCTATAGGACTGCGGATCGATAAAACGAGAAATCATTCACGTCGGGAGGCTATATCACCAATCAACCAATCAGAAGAGAGATTATCCAATACAAGGTTGAACCAATTGATCTGTGTTGAAATGATTCGCGACAGTGATTCCTACTTTCTATATAAACAGTGCATTCTCAACTAACAAACTGAGGTAATTCGCAGCAGAAAAGTCATCTATATCGGGTTAGTGGGACAGTTCAGAACAGTCAATCGAACTGGTGAGTTTGCGAAACTTCTTCGAAAGATTTATTCTTTGTGTCTCAGTCATTCAGGTGGTCATTTGCTTCAAAATGCATACTCGATGAGTATGATTAACAAAGCCATTTGTCTGTAGTTGTGCCTTTCTCGGACAAATGTTGTCACTCTCTCCTCTCGCTGACTAATTTTCACAATTTTTATAGTGAAGCAGATGCAGCGGAACAATGGTTGGAAGTTCATGAAGCTGATCTGCATGTGAACGAAACAGGCGATTCCATCCAATCTACTGTTGCTTTGATCCAGAGACACGAGGCTTTGGAGCACAACTTGCTTCTTCAAGCAGAACGGTTTGAACGACTCAAACGACCCACACAAGTAAGTGAAAATGTAGGATGGAATTTACTGGATCGGTCAACTGATCGATCAGTTAGTCCGGCTAGCGAGTTTGTCGACTGACTGGCCGGACACCTCGAGATTGATTGACTGATTGATTAGTTGTTTTAAGCAATTAAGTGACTGATATTTTGTAAACAGGAGCTGATTGTGAATCTCATTCTTTTTGATTTTCTTTTCTTATCAAGATGGAACTATTGGACACGACCCCCGCAGATTATTCGGTTTCGGGAAAAGCTGCTTCAGGAGCCGTTGTGAGCGAGGAGACATTGGGCATGATCCTAGCAGTCCCTACCGTGGACTCAATGCTCCGGCAGTTTGTTTTGGAAGCTGAGATTGATTCTACCGCAAAAGAGCATGCTGACCACCAGGAAGCTATTGTGAATAAATCGTCCGATGAAGAACTGTACAGTATCGATCAAGCAGTTTACACAGGTCAGTCTTTCAATGGTCGCCTTTCTCATTGTTTTTTTCACATGTACTCAACTCATAAACAGACTCGTTATTGACAAATTAGGACTTTTTCATTCACTCCTACACACTGCACAAAAGGTTATTTGATTACCAATCTGAAAATATACATGTGATTGAAAAATAGGAGTTTGGGATGAAGAAACGAACAATTTTGAAATCCTAAATATTTACGGAAAAATTTGTCCGAAAGTGTACGTGTCTAATGATTCCCCTAAACATACCAATTGGTATTGGGAAAAATGCTGATGCACCTATGCATTATATGGCAAAAAATCACCTGAAAAAAGTAGCGTTGAATAGGTGAGTTTTTTTAATCAACCTGGAGATTCGACTGTAATGAAGTGGGTCTGACCCAGACCTAAAAATACCGTAGTTGTGACCATGACGTCCCGTTAAAGTCAACCTATAGAATGTTCTAGTGACGAACAGCGAACGGAATTTGAACGCAGGTGCGTCCGATTTCGCCAGTTAAACGCAAGCTTAGGCTCGCGCACGCATAGTGTGGTCAAAATTTCTTTAGATATCCTGAGGAGACCGAAGTTCGCAACTTACCACTTTGTGGCTCATCAGTTTAAGTAATGTAAACGTCACTATGTAGTCTGTAAATTTGTCCAGTGACTGTGGATTTCGGTCAAATTCCAGTTCGTGCTACTGAGAATATTGTCAGTAACAATCCAATCAGTTGCTATGGATTGGGAGGAAAACCCGATGGAACGTGTCCGTGAGCGAAGGATCAATGACACTGTTGCTTACGTTTTTCAGTCCCGTCAACGTCTTCCAAGTGAATATGCTAGTGTGCTGAGATGTCCATGCCATCTGGGTGCTTTGTACGTTTGTATGTTGTGTTAAATCAATTGGTTACGAACTGCATTGAACACGACAGCCATCTGATGGGTTATGTGGGGACTCAATATTTCATCCTCAGTCATTCGATTTCCTTCTTCGCTGATTGCTGTACCAAAATCTGCTATTGTCGTCTTTGTTCACTAATCTGTAGCCTCACTTGATATTCCCCTCTGCGATTCCATGGCTATGTTCTAAGGAAGGTGCTACTTTCCGATCAAAAAGATAACATTGTGAGGGTAATCAGAATAGTTCCACGGTCATGGTCACATCAAGAACAAGACGCTGGAGAGCGAACAATTGTTTTCAATGAATCCTATGTGCAATTGAGTAGTAGGAGATTAGATTTGTATAATGATTCATCATGCAGCTTCAATGCTCAACTCACCATTGAAAACCATGGAAGCACTGTACAGCTGTCTCATCCTCGTTGGGAATCATCAGCAGTGCACATCCACCGAGCCCCCATGGGGACTCGAACCCGGGGTGGACGATTGTAAATCGAACACCTTAACCACAAGGCTATCCGGGCTGGATCTCAATGGTTTGGTGAAAATCTACACTACATGATATAGCACCCTTCCATCACTGGCTTTGAACAGTAACAACCCGCTTCCCGCACAGCGATCGACTCCCATGATCGATGGCTTCTCTGTAGGGGCCTAAGTACAACGAAGACATTCCGTTATGAATAACCCATAGAGCTTGGTTCCTATTTGCAGTTGAGTAGTAGGAGATTAGATTTGTATAATATGATTCATCGTGTGTTGAAGCTGCATGATGGCGGAAACCACGGACCGCCGACCGAACCCCAAAAGTCCACCATCGATTACCACTCGTGACGGTGGGAGTGAAACTCCCACCACAACCCGCACACGATAGAGACACTCCTCCCCACCAACCCCTTTTTCCTAACGCCACGACAATGACCTTTACTCCGGCCAATGGCTAATGCCATCCAATGCTGCCTCACCCGTATGAATAGTAAGAGCACGTATAGGATTCATTGAAAACAATTGTTCGCTCTCTAGCGTCTTGTTCTTATGTTGAGGATAAATGATGTGGGATAAGAGTAGTAAATTACGTCATTTCATTTTACATCGCACCAAAAAATTAAATAAGAACTGTAGCATTTTACTGGAAATATCCCATTGTGTCGTGTTATGTGAACTATTTTTCGAATCGACCTTTTTATTACTATGGTAATTTTTGACGTTAAACCAATTATTCTGGGTTATCCTTTATGACTAAGTGATGTGTTACTCGAAAGCAGACCGAGGTATTGTATCATGGAAATACCGGAGCACTGATGTTTTCCTTTTAATAAAAATCATAACACGTACGCGTGCCACTGGAACATCACACAAATATATTGATATGATGTATCCTATCTACAACACTTGCAGCACTGTTTCGAAATTAGGTCAAAATTATTCAGAAATGCCAGCTGACTTGCTGTTTGAGATTTCCTTCTGAATGATCTGAAGACCGGAGTATCTGTCACCCTTACATATTTCGCGTAGGTGACCACCCATGCTCTCGTAATCTGTGCACTGGACAACAATGTGCGTCTACAGTTTCACACATAAACTCGACCTTGTCGTGACCAGAGCTAAGAGGTTGAGCAACTATCACGTGACCGAACCAAGTGGTCGAGAACCGATCATTAATAAGACCAGCAGACAGAAGCAAGTCTCTCAGTCGGCGCTACGCGTCCCAAGTTGGCGAAATGGACAAAGAGGGTGAAGTCACACTGTGGTCAGAGACTGACTTCGAGGGTATCAATGGGAAACGAGAGCTACAGTGCGGTTACCATGGAGCAAATGTATCCTAATTTCAATCAATCTTCACTGTCACCGCGCGTTGATAAAAATTCTCTTGGCACACAAATGATACACCGCAGTTCAACACGGTCTTTGAGTAGTTCGGTTACGTGATAGCTATTGAGTCTTTTAGCTCCGGTCACGACAAGGTTGAGTCCACGTATGTAATTGTGGACATACATTGTTTTGCAACGCACAGATGATGGACGCATGGGGTGACCACTTACGCGAAATATGCAAGAGTGACTGATATGTCGGTCTTAAGATCATCGAAGACGAAATCTCAAACAGACAGTCGGGTGGCATTTCCGAATAATTGCACCTAACTCCAAAACAATGCCGAAAATGGTGTACTTCATTGTAACAATCTACTGCAAAATGACTCTGTTAAACCAGTTAATTACATATTAAATGACTATTCTTCAAACAATAACTTCATTCCAAGACCACTGGTACACACAAGCCTCATTCGTCCGGTTGCTCACTTAGTTTATTGACATGACATACGGACCACTTTTCGGGACGTATTCCAAAAACTAGATTTGTCGGTAGGTCATCCAAAATCTTGATAAATAAATTTCGCACCCTTAAAGCTGCTGCTCTTTCGAGCATTTTCTCACATCAAAGTTATCGACCTGCCGTCTTGTTCCCACGGAACCGCAATTAGTCATGCTGATACCGTAACCACTTTTCATACTGTTTCAACCGAAGTGGAATGAATTACCTATCTAATAATCTTCATACCACTGCGAGCCATTCTGTAAGGCTTGATCTTTCCCTAAACCCCTCCAAGTGTTCCGAATGTATCTTTATACATCTCGACCATCTTCCTCGAACGACAAGTATACCCTGCGCACTATTTGATTACACCAAGTTTTATCTTTAAATTATCTCGGAATGACGCTAAGCACTGATATTCTCATGCCGTCAATTGCGTGCGCAAATTGGGCTAACTTTTCTTTCCAATTCGACAGCTCAAGAAAATTCTGCATCACAGTTATCAACACATACTATCTCTCGTGAAATCTATAGTACTGTCACGAAATTGTCATTTTTTGTCACCGAAATCACCAATTTTCTTGTTCTTTCTTTTATTATTTTGATTTACATGCCTATCAAATGTGCTGTATTTAACCAGTTGTAAAGCACCGAAAAAAGTTTGTTCTCTACCGAGTGTTCTGATGTCCCAATCGAGTATTTTCAATTGATTCTGCGGTAAATTTACGCTCACTATTTCCTTTGTTTCTCAAAGCACTTAACAAAACATCCGATTTCTACCTCCTAATATTTCCCAAGTTACCAATGCAGAATATGGTCAGTCATGCATCTTCCAAACCGTATTTACTATATGAGCAAGGGGATATATGATCTGCACTTTGGTAATTGTGCAAAACTTGGTGGCTTCACGTGGACTTATATATGATTCTCTTGAATTACCAATGGCTTGAACTCAACTCAAATAGACATAGTTACGTTTATCTTGATGATACCGTGTTTTCATTCCTCCGCCCTAATAAGAATAATAAGCCGTTCTAAAATTGTCGCACCCATTCCAGAAACGTTAGACGGTCCAAGACACCAACACCAGCGAGTCACACTCCACGTTTTGCACTCTTACTGTCTTCACCGAGTACCTTCCACCCGATAACAGCACTTGAACTAGCCATGCAGTTGAGACAATCAATACTGGACCATTCCCCTCGTCTTCTAATGATACTCAATGACTCTGTGGTCACAAATTAGCTCAATTCTACCGGTTACGCCTTATCTCACCAGTCCATATGCTGTAGTCAAGACGCAGCAGATACATGCGTACGCCGTCACTGCCGTAGCACCGTTTGCGGACGTCGCGATGTAATCAAAGAGGCTTGCAAAAGGGCACATAATGGGTCAACAAACCACCATATACGCATGCATGTAACTCTGACCGGATTCGCTGGTATCCAAGTTGTGCGCGTGTTGTATAAATTTGCTAACTCGTTATTATTTTTTGCTACAGGACAGTGAGGATGGAGAAAATTTATTCCGAATATATATATATATATATATATATATATATATATTATACCGGCTTGAGATCAGGCAAGGCGCCTACATAACAGTAACAATTACATAAGAGGGTAAGGGGGCGTACAATGCAGTAAACAGACAGCTAATGAGAAGAAATAATGCTGATGTTATTAGGGTTTTACATCGTTCACATTTTTGATGTCTTTTTATCAATTTGTTTGTCGGAATAACATTTTTTTGGCTACGAGACACGAGAGTTAAACAGACAGACTACCCAGTATTTAC